GATGATCTTACAGGTCTTTTCCAACCTTAATGATTCTATGATTCTGTGGGCAACTTATGGCATTTGCACACTTCACGGCCCTCAGCTCACTATCCTGGCACAAAACTGCAATGTTTTTGATGGGCTACTTTTGTGCGACATTAGTAAGCTGAGCTAGGTCAGCAAGAAAGAGAGGTCTGCAGAGTGCAGAGCTGGTGCAAGGTGGCAGAAGGGAAGGTGGGAACACCCACTTTTGGTAGCAGCAGCCCATTAGATCAGATCAGGACATCTCACTCTTCACCCTACACATTGTTTTTCCAGTTGCCATTGCTGCATGACATACACTGCAGACAGGATTTGGCTGTCAATAGGAAATGCTGGTAGAAGCCACAAGCTTAGCGGTTGTCAGAGGAACTTGACTGCGGTAAAAGCTTCATAATATGCAAATAAATGCCTGTTGTGCATTAAGAAACTGGCCTTTATTACAGTACTAGGAATGTGTTCTCTAAATGGTACTTAAAAGATGCAACGTTAACAAAGACCAATTCTGCTTTACTTCAAGACAGTACCTCTGAACAACGTTGGCCAAAAACAAGGCTGAACACTACTAGGTGTAATTTTTTCACCTCCACAGGGGGTTTCAATGCCAGCAAAGCTTGGGCATGCCAAAAATTCATACATGCTTATAATCAGACGAGCTTAACCATAAATGGTCTGAAGCACAAAGATCAGACACACACGGCCCTTATTGCAGGGCTGCTGCAGGGCGAGAGCTCAGCGCAGGTGGGTCCTGCTCACCTGTTCCAAGCAGAGTTGGAGCTGAGCTGCAGAGCCTGCCGGGTTGCCTGGAACCGCGGCAGGTCACTGAGGACTGGAGAGCTCATGAAGCGAGGTCGGGGCCTTCTGAACGAACCCATCTTGTGGAACTGGAGAGCAAAGGATGGAGCTACAGTGAACCCTCCAGTCATAGGGTCAGGTGGAGTGGAGCAGGGCTGTCAGAAAGTCTCTTCTCTTGAAGGTCCAAGCGTCAATCTCAGTGATGTCAACGAGTCTCCAAACCCAAGGACTCAGCCTGCAGCAAAAGCAAAGAGTCAGCCTTGGACTAGCAGTGCCCCACACCATCAGGTTGTGACATGGACATGCACTGCAAGATGATGAAGGAATTTAAGCAGTCCTGCAAAGCGAAGAGAAAGAAAAAGAGCAAGACAGAGAAGGGAGAGGTGAAAATATCCTATCCCATTAGCAGCAAATTTGGGCAAATCTTCTGGAGTTCTTCAACAGCAGCCCCCTTTTCCATCTTGCCCCTTAAATAATGACCCAACACAGCCAGCCAGAAATACAAGCATGGTCTCTTTTTCCATTTCAATTAGCAGAGATGCAAGAACAGAGGTGCCTAAACTCTTCTGCTAGAGGCACTTTACAAATACCTTTAAATACAGTTAGCCATTCAGCCTGTATAAAATAGAAACTGGAGAAAGAGAAAACTATTTCACCAGAAAGGAACAAAGGTGAACAATGGAAGAAAAGATGAACAAACACAATGCTTTTTTTTGAGAAGTGTTGTGCAAGGGAATAAACCCACTTGTTATCAGTCCATTACAAAAAGGATACAATAGGGAGCTTCTGCAGAAGAGGTCTGACAACCAGATATTTTGAGAGTAAGCAGGACTTTTATGTTTGTTTTGTTTTCTACAGAATGAGAAGTAATTGCTAGGCCAAATACGAAATGCACATATTTTCCACTCTGATCATCATCTCCATATAGATGAATATGTAGCCCCAAGTAAACCACAGAAATAGAAGAAGTTAGCTTGGATACAAACCACAAAAAAACTTTGTCAAAGCTTCTGTACTTTGAAATCTTCCCACTTCAGATGAATACAGGCAGTAGATGTAGTTGGCAGTTTGAAGAATGGAGATGTGGGAGAAAGGACAGAGGAGGAAAAAAAAAAAACAAACAAAAAAGTTGTGTAACTGAACTGCACACGAAAGATGTTAAGCAAAATCTTCTCTTTTCTACTACATCTTCAACATGAGGTGAAAGAGATGATCAGCCAAAGAAATGTTGTGTATCTGCACAGTGCTTCTAATTTGACTAGTGCTCAGCTTCAGGAAACTCTTTCCACTCCCCAAACCATAATTAACATGGCTACAAGTGCAACTTTTTTCTGTCTTTAGACAACTCTTGGCTGTCTTTAGAGATGACAAAGCCCAGACAGTCTTTCATGACATGAGCTTAGCCTTGACTGTTGTTGCTTGAAAAGGCAGCAATCTGTTGATTCTGTGGTGGCTCTGTTCCAATTTAAAAAAAAAAGAAGTCATAACTTTTAGAAATTAAGAATAAACGTAGACTAATACAACCAAATCAGCAGGGTCTTCTGTGTGCATTTTGAAATAACAGTTCATTTGTCATTGCCCACACATTTTCAGTCTGCCAGCAATTTCTCTACTGGCAATTGTAACCACATCAGAAATCATCAGAAGAAAAAAGCTACAGCACCTTGGAGAGCCGAGGGCAGGCTTTTCTCACAACATACCAAAAGGTGTCCGGGAGGCAAAGCATAACGGATGTTTCTGTTGCAAAACAAGTGCTTGTGCCAATGTTTGTCATCTCCAAGTTCCAAAGCTGACAGCGTGAGGAGCTGAATGAGTGACAACTCACTTCTCCCAGCAGTGCAGTAAAATTTCTAGCTTAACAATTTTTACACAGGAAAAACAGCATATATTTTTCAGAGCTATAAAATGCAATATAACTGTTACTTTAGATCAGTTATAGGCATCTAACAGGGCTAGAAAGCAGTGGTTAAGATGCCTGTACTAGCCCACAAGCCTCCTCCTATCACTATTCCAGGTGCTGTAAATGCATACAAGTATCTTTCTCCCCAACAATGAAATCATTTTATAAAGCTGCATTTACATTAGTTTGAGTTAGATTAAGTTGCAAGGGGAAAGCTTAAATTCAGAACTGTAAATCAGGAGACCAACCTCTGTGCCTTAATATACATATATTTAAAGTTTGTGTAATAAATTCTTTGGCCCGTTCTGTGCAAGTGGTAAAACACCAAGATCAGGAAGGTCTCTCCTGTGCTTGGGCTATGGATTTATGAGACAGATTCCACAGCAGCAGAACTGTGCCATTACACAGGGCCCCACAACAAATTTCCTGAACACTTCTTACCAAGGGAATGTGCTTGTTTCTGCTCACGGAAACATACACGTTGTTTTCCTTAATCTCTGTTAAAGTCACCCAGACAGATAATAACAAGCTCTTGTCTGCGAAGAGCAGATAAGACAGCCCTCTTTCCCCTTCCTCCCCCAACCCCAGTCTGCAATCCCTTGTTACTGTCAAGTCAACCTTACTCTAGGTTCTCATCAGGAATTTAAGACAAGATGTTCAGCTTTAGAACCAGATTCAGAGTCTTATTTTCATTTCTTCAGGATTCAAAGATACAAATCTCTCCTATCTTATCTAAACCGGTAACTGTTAAATGGCAGGCACAGCAAACTGTTACTCTGAAGGCAGCCTAGCCACCAAATGGTATCCAAACATAACTGATCCTCATTTTAACAGAGCTGGAAATGCCAGTCTGTGAGAAGGACCATCCTCTACCCATGCCCACAGCCATTTTAAACTATTTTCAGAGTTTCATAAAGCTCAAAGTATCAGAGCGTTTTACTAGAAAACAGACTTTTGGCACAAGTAGTTTGCAGATCCTGTGCACCTGAAGGTACAACAAAGCACCCAAACCCAACCAAACACTTCCATTAACCAGATTTTCCTTTCACAGCAACCAGTTTCCACTGAAAGTTTTCCCCAGAGCAAGGGAGCCTTGTAAATACTGCTTCATTTTTGCAGGGAAGTTGCATTAGCAGCTTGTTGGCAATGTTCATGGTATGCATTCTGCAGTGTGCAATTTTTTGGCTTTTTACTGAGAGAAACTACCCTTGTGGCAAGAAAGGCATTAACATAGTTATAGGTTAGTAAGAAGCCCTCATAGTATTCAGGCTATTTTAGCTATTGGGAATGAAGAGTGTTTAGCAAAATGCTGAGTACAGCAAGGAACAATTCTCCTCTTCAGTTTGCCACGAAAATTCTCATAGAATTACGCAGAAATATTCAGAAACAGACATTGTCCTCCTAGAGGCCTTCAGTCCAAACTCCCTCACATCTACAGTCTCCTCTTCCTAAGATTAAAGTGTTTTAGAAGACTACAAAATAAAACCTACTTCTAATAATCATAGTCTTATAATTTATCAACCACAGAACTAGAAAAAGCTTTACAGAGAAGCAATTACTATTTTTCGCCTTTTATAGAGAGTGAAGGGAGACACCAGGGTGCAGCATGTTCTAGCCACCAAGCAACACTCTCACCATTGATTATAAAAGGCACGAAGACCTAGAGACTAAAGTGCAGTGACTGGACTGCGTAAGAGAGACAACCAAACCAAGATAATCTCTCACTGCCACATGCTCCAGCTGGGGCAATGCTTTACGTGGCATCAGGGCATTTCAAACTGCTTGCCAGCTGATATATCCTAAAACATTCCCCAATCTCCTCATCTCACTTAATGACCCTGCACATCTTTTTTGGCTAGAAGCTTATCATAAGTAAGTCAGAGAGAGAGGTATTGTTCTTCCTTCCCTTCCAGCTGTCCTACCCCCTGTTTTTTTTTCTTCTCTTATCCTTGATTATCATCTCAAAACCCAGCTATCAAAACCCTCTAGATCTCTAACAAGGGAGATACGTCATCTGTGTAAAACCCAGGTCTTCAAGTGAGGAAACTCTTCAGAGCTGGAAGTCAATGTTCTCAACTGGGGGAGCAAAGCAGGATGATGAGTCAATCTGACAACAATGTAATTTCATCCACTTGTAATTCATCACATCTGAGTAAACACTTTTAGGATTAATCTGAATCTTTAAAGAGAATAATCAAGCATGGAGACAAATCCTTTTCCAACACACATAGATACAGGCATTTATAAAAACATTACAGTCATCAAGCTAGGGATTTTTTGTCATTTGTTTTCTGTTAGCCATGAAAACCAACAGAGAAATCATTATAAAATGATTTCATGAAAAGACCTTTCCCTCCCAACAGACCATAATACATCTGACTGTCTGGACGAAAAGCAAGATCAGGCAATATACCTAGATATCTCTCTCTCTCTACTAAAGAAAGAATAACCCAAAGAAAAAGTTGGCAGAGATTCCTCCAAATTATGAATCTTCATGATAATCTTGGGCCAAACAAACAAAAAGCCCATGGTAACTGAGATTTAACAAAAGAACAAGACCATTTTAAATTCCTCTGATGCCTTCTCTGCAAGACTCGGAGCAACAGCCACTAATGGAAGTGACAGGGCAGCAAAAACTACAACTGTTTTTGCTTAGAGGAAAACTTGCACCAACACTACCTCACACCAAATTCACACCAAAAAGCCACAAGTCGAAAAGTAACTTTAAACCAGATGGCAAGGGAGGGAAAGGAAGAGCGGAGAAATCACAGGATCCTCAATTCATCCAAACAAGCATTTCCCAGGTCTCCTGAAAAAGAGCAACAGAGAATGAGGGGTTATCCAGATATAAGTGATGTTTTGCCATTTAAATTTTTCTTAGAGGTAAAAAACCAGCCCCTTCATGAAGAAAGATATCCACTTGCCCACTTTCCTCTCCTTTATATGCTTTGTGCAATCGTAACATTGATGACTTATGACCATAAAATACATAAACTGGATACTGCAACATGCACCAGAATTTTTTGTAATGATTTTGGGTGTGGAAGAAGCATAATCTTAAGAAAAATCCCCCCACTGTACTAGGCCTACAGATCCATAATGAGCAGTTTCATCCTACCTCAGACACAAAAAATACGCAGAGAACCATCTAGATTCTTGTTAGCCGATTCTCCTTCCAGCCCAGTAAATCCTTAACAAAGTATGTGATTGGCAAAATCTTTGATTCAAGTTCAACCAACAAGATCTGAAGACACTATTTTTGACAAAAATCCCTCATTTATTTGCTGCGCAGCCATACTGAGAAGTGGAAAAGCAGCTCACAACCTGTAACTTCA